GGGCTATGGCCTTCTCATATTTTGGTAGTGTTTCTTTTATCAGTAAAAATCACTGTGAGTTGAGACACTTGTTCAGCTTCCCTCTTCCCCCGAAAGCTGACCTGTGAGATCCTGGCCCAAAATTAAAGGGGAGTGTGCGGGTGGGAGGGAGCGGGGGGCCAGCATGCTTGCTCCACATAACTCCTGGCCCCTTTGAACACCAGCAGAACATGACTGGCTCCCTCCTCATCACCTGTAAGAGGACATGGAGCCTGCCAGGCAGTCACAGCCTGCAGCAGTGGAAGAATTGGTTCCTGAGTACCCTCTAAAGCTCTCATGTCACTCTGCCTTCACTAACTCTGCCTTGTCCTCAGTTAATTGCAAATTGCCATGCAATGTGCGTAGCTGTTACTAAAGAAAGAGGACTCTTATTTTGTCCACAGGCTCTTCAAAGCGCAGACTGTCCCTCAGCTGTTACTAGTCAAAAATGCTACCTTAGGGCAGCATTGCTGTGTGCATCCTGCTTTTCCCTGAGGAATAGGGTCTGGGCAGTGCTCTGCATAACTCTGAGGCAAGCTGGCTAGGATCCTCACTTGGTGCTTCTTGGTCAGGGGTCCCAGCGTGCTTGTGGTAAGAGGAACTGTCTTCTGAATGTCCGGGGCAGCCCCAGTGCCAGGTGGAGCTGAGTGTGAGGAACACAGCAGTGAAGAAGTCTGCAGGAGTTAGGACTGGCGCCCTGCTGAGAACTTTCCCAGGTGCTGATCAGGGATGAGCGAGAGGGGGGAAACACCCCCACACATTCATGTTGCATCTCCAGTGAGCATGTAGCAACAGAAGTTTAACTCTGCTTAGCCAGAGGTTCCCGAACACTAGCATGCCACTGGTAGCTTGAGAGCTACTTAAGGTGTACAGGTGCCTGGTAGCAAGTCTGGACTGCATGCAGGGAGAAGCCTGCATGAGCCACAGGCTTGGGTTTCTCTGTGAAGGCAGTGAGTGCTTCTCAGCTGATGGTGGAGGAGTGAGACTGGGGAATAATTTTAGTTTGTTTCCTGTTCTCTCAAAAATTACTGTGGTGTAGTCATAGGGCTTCTCATCTGCCGGTTCTCTGATATGCAGCTGGTTTTGGGGGGTGGAAGAGTTTGATGTGGGTGAGGAAGGAGTCAGTGGAGAGTGTAAGCTTTGCTTTGTGGGAGTAAAGGTGTGTCAAAGAGCTTACAGGAGGAAGTGGGCTGCATGAATCCTGAGAACAGAGCTGGGGACTGCTGCTGCAGTCAGCAGTGTGGTATCTTGTGTTGCTGGTGATTCTCATGCTGTCAGGGGTACCTGAGCAAACAAACAGGTTTAAAAAAAAGTGACCAGGGATTTCTGTTTGGTCATGACCAAATAGGACAGACCCCGCTCCTCCATTATCCTGAGGTGCCAGTGATTGCAAGGTGGTTTTGTTAGACCTCCCATCTGGATGGAGACCTGGCCCAATACAGTCTGAGAAATAGCAGCCCAAACATTCAGATTTCAGCCTTTATGCCAGGAGAGGCAGCATGTTGCTTCTCTGCTATCCTTTATTCTTCATCCACGCTCTTTTTCTGTAACACATCTCCACAGCTCTACAGAGCTTCTCCACTGTTGTTCGCTGTAAGCCCACAGCAGCATAGGCAGGGAATAGAAGACTTACGAATACAGCAGATGCTAACCAAAAGGGCTGGGGATGGGTAGACAGCACTTAGACACTAATATACAGGATACTTGCTTTGTTACAGCTTGCCAAGTTGTCCTCCTGTGCAGCACGAGGAGTGTGTACTTGTGCAGTGGATCCTGTGCATCATCTTAGAAAGGTGATCGATCTCTGTGACAATCTGGGGTCACCAGCACTTCCAGGGAATTCACCAGGCTCTTGGCCCGCTTGTGGTTGGCAGCCTCAGCACTGGCTGCTGACTGGAGGTCTCCAGCATTGTCTGGGCGTTCAGATTCAAGTCTGATATGCATTTTGGCAATGGGGGCTAGGCAGTCACACAGTCTGAGCCCTGAAGTTCACTTGGGGAAGCCTCCTTGATAATTTTTGTTATACTCTTCAGCTTGGAAAATCTATGTACCTGGTTTATTTCTTTTCTCAGGGGCAGTGAGAGCAGCAAGTCTATGCGAGTATTGTTCTACCCTATCCTCCTTGGAAAAGCGTTACTTGTTTTCCTGTTGTAGACTGGTTTGGGCTTCTGGTGCTGTAAGTGCAGGTCGTCCAGCCTTCTGGCACTCATCATCAGCATGTTTACACCCCTTTCCCAGCACTGCTGTGGTGCATGTCATCCAGGCAGTCTCTGACCTCCACTCTCTCCTCTGCACTTTATTTCCAGTAGGTTCCTGACTTGCTGTCACCTTAGATAAGTCACTCTTCCATCCCCTGCTTTCCCAGCTGTAGAGGGAGAATTGTGCCCCTCTGCAGAGCTGGGAAGCTTTGAGAACACCACAAAAGGAGCTAGATACAGGCTTGCTCTATTCATTGTGCTTGACAACTCAGTAAATAAAACTTCACTCAACTGCTCGCTCTGTAATTCACACATAAAAGACCTGTCATTCTGATCTCTCCCACACCACGCTTTAAATGCAAAGGATGGAGTGAGACCTTCTAGTAAAGCAGCACAATTTCAGTGCAGTACAGAATGGTCTTTGAGGGTAAGGTATTGTCATAAATAACGTAATGCACCTGCCTTGGCAGGAAGAGCGGAGTGCTCGTGGTGAACTTGGCCTTGGTCACAGCCTTCCAGAATTTAATGTGGATCTTGTGATGCTTGATAAGCCTTCTCGATCCTCAGAGGATGCAGGAACTACACTAGTTTTCCAGAGAAAGGCAGCAGTTCATACCAGTGGGGAGCCTGGTTTTTCCTCCTTGCATTTTAGAGAAATTAATAAATATCTATCATCTTCTGGTATCCAGGTTCTTATACCTTCAGCTGCAAAATGCATCCTAATCATTGTGCTTTAAGGCTCTGTGTAACAGCACTGGCTGGCCTGAGGCCTGGAGGGCAGCCCACTGTCTCTGTAGGCTCTTGCACTTTGGCAGCAGGTAGCTGCCAAAGCTATAGCTCTTGAGTGTAAAGTTTCCACAGCATCGCTTAAAGCTGAGTTTTAAGGTTCAGGCATGTTGTCTCTAATCACTTCTGCCGTCCTCCAGCCCAGTCTTCCCATCTCTGGTGTGATGCTCAGTTCTGCAGTTCTTGGTTGACTCTGCCCCATGGGCTTTTCCCACAGTTTTTGCTTCACCCCCTCTGGAATTGAGCTGCCCAGCCCTCTTGCTCCTGGCTTACAGAAACCAGAAGGCACTACCTCAGATGTAGAAAAGCTTTGTATTGCCATCCCCTTCTGGCATGCTGTGCTCTTCCACAAAGTGTAGTTAGGCCAAAGGAACTTGGAGCTTTCCAGCCTTTGCTTACACACCTGGTGATTTGTAAGCTGTGCCTGTGTTTCAGAACAGCTGAATGTCATCAAAAGTACAGAATCCTGTTTATCAAGCAAGGATTCTCTTTTCTTTGCCTCTGTGCACACTCTATTAACTGCTCTGGTTGACCGGGCTCTGTACTGAATCGGCTACATTAAATGCCTTGATCTCCTGTGTGATATCCCAAGTTGAATTAAGGAAAAACTCAGCCTAGAGTTCCTGGTACTAATGTGACACCTGTCCCTGGAGCCTGTCCCCAGGCTGTCTGGTTGATCGAGAACAGTGGCTATCAAGTTTGAACAGTCAACAAGGCTTTGAGCTTGTAGCTGTTCAGTGTGCAGTGGCAGGAGGCCAGTGCTCTTGCAGTCTCACTGTGTGAAGCTCTGCTTAAGAAGTGATTGTTAGTGTGCAGAAGAGATAACATCCCATTACTGTGACCAGCTGTTAAAGTCTTTCTTGTAGAGCTGGAGCTAGACCTGTCTCATCACTGTGCCAGGGGAGGTGGTTGTTTCTGCACTGTAAGCCTCTTGGGGAAGGGATCTCTCACTTTCTCTCCAGTTTGTCAACATGCTCTGAACACATGGTTGGTAGCTCGACCACAAAGGCTTTGGTGGTAAAACCAGCTTCAGATGTTCCCACCCTGCTTTGCAGTTCACTGCCTGCTCTCCTGTGCCAGAATTGGCATAGTGAGAAGCTGTGCACCTCCATGTCAGAAATCACCCTCCAGAAAGGGGTGAAAACTTCTTGATCATGTTTTGCCACTGAAGCCCACTGTGAATCACACCGTCTGTAGTGATGGTCAGTGGGCAGTGACACATCTCTCTTGGGGCAGACAGCACTGGGTGGGCTCTGGCTGCAGAAGATGGCGGATTGTAGCTATGGTCCCATTCCAGAGATGTTCATCCCAGCCCAGCAGTGCTGGTGTTTCAGTGCCGGGCCTTGAGACAGTGGAAGAATTGTGACTCTTCTCCAGGTGGTTGGCATGGAGTACTGGTTGGTGTCTCTCCGGTGGTGTTGGTAGCCCTGCAACACCTCTGGGGAAGCACATGAGGAATACAGGAATGGCGCCTCTAGCCAGCAATGGTTCTTGCTTACTAGGATGATGGAGAGCCAAGCAGCGTTTCTCACTGCAGACCTGTCCCACAGAGGCATGGGAGAACTTTCAGCACCATGTTGGGTTGTGTGTTGCCACTGTTAGATCACTGCTCGTTCTTCCTGGGTTTTCTGCAGAAAATAAGACTGTGTGCTGGGCTGAAAGCCAGCGTTGCGTGGGCCCTGGATTTAGTGAGCTAGCCTTTGCCAGGCTGACGCACCGCACTGTACTCCTCTGACACCCAGTGTTTCCAGGCAGGTCAGTATGGATCCACAGACCTTGCCTGTCTGCGCTGCTTTCCCTTCCCTGTGCTCACCTTCTTGCTTTGACCTTTCCCTTCCCTTTCTGTATCCCCACTGAATGGCTGCCAGCCCCTGCCAGCTCTGCGTCTTAGAGCTGCCACTTGTGATTCCTGAAAGGCGGACAGGCGTGAATGAATGAGAGCCTATCAGAGAGCAATCATTTGTTACAGCAAGTTTTCTTTTTCCTCCCTTTCTTCAGATACAGCACAAAGAATCCCTCTCTGCAGTCGGAGACGGTTCATTACAAGAGAGGGGTAAGCCAGCAATTCTCCCTGCCTTCCTTCAAGATTGATTTCTCAGACTGGAAGGATGATGAGGTAAGTCTCTTCTCAGTGTCCCCTTCTTTCCACAACACTGTTGTCCCAGAAGCACTGGACTCCATTTAGTGCCATGAAGTTACAGCTGGAAGACACCCTTTCCCAGCTGCCATGGCATGTTTTGTGGGTATGAGACAAATGGGGCCCTGGGAGGAGCAGGTATGAACACTGTATGGGAACTTGGCAGCTAGATCAGGCAAACAGGGAAGAAACCCAAAGAAGCAATTTTTGATATCGCTGATCAGCTGGCATCCCAACATCTGGTGTAGGAGGGAAACTGCAGAGACTGGCACTGGAGCTCTTCCTGGAGGAGCCCGCCACTCCTCAGCCTTCCTCTCCCTACCAGCCAAAGAGCTTGTGGGAACAAATGTCTGTCTTGATCTCTCTGTTTTGGTGGTCTTTGGTTGGGGGTTTTTTTGGGTTTTTTTGGCTGGTTCTCTAGAACAGTGGTCTCCAAAGTGGAGTGCATGCAAGACAATTTGTTGGGGTGCAGGAGGAACTTCAGTAGTACATGTATATATTTTTTAAATAATAAACATAGATATATTGGCAGTATGTGCTCAAAATTTTTCAGTGATGGGATGAATCCTGAAAATAGTTTGGAGACCACTGCTCTAGAAGATTCCTGTTCTGTTTAAGGGCCACAGCCTGCATTATTAACTGTAGCAGCACAGTATTGTGGGAGGATACTCTCCCTTTTAGGGCAGATTCACACTGATGCATTAATGCTGAATAAGGGAATGCCTTCCTCCTTTTGGTTTAACCCATAACTGCAAACAGACGAGGGCTTGGTTTTAATTAAGCTCTGTGGCTTTTACTACATAGCAAGATCTGTGGAGTCCTGTTAATTTTGGTATCTTTGCAAAATTCCAACCCAGGCAGTAACTCTCTGCTTCTTGAGCCTCTGAGCTTTGGCCCAGGGGCTTCCTCTGCACATGACACAGGGCAGGAAGGCCTTGGTCTTTCCCCTGCTCTGTGCAGAATTGCCAGAAGAGATTTCTGATGCAGAGGAGTCGGTCTGTAGCTACTGCTAATATATTTGTTCCTGTGGACCCCTCTCCCAGGTCAACACTGATAAAGTGTTCATTTCCTGACCCAAGCCTATATAAGAGTATTGTGTATGTGAACCCTGACAGATAACTCTACCTATGTAAAAAAAAAAAACCAAAACACAAAAAACAAACAAAAAAATGAAAAAAAGAAAGAAAAAAGTAATCTTTCATGTATTTTGAAAAGATTGAATAGCTATTGTCTTTAAGTTGCAGTTATAACTGTAATCAGTCCCGTGCCTTAACAAATGCCATGGTGGTTACCAAGAGCCTGCAGAGTCTGGTCTCCTGATGTCTTGGCTTCTCTGCCAATATATGATTTCACAAGTTCAGCCTACAAAAGCCTGGAAGAGCTGCTTTTCAATCCCTTCTGTCGTCTGAGAGATCTGGAAAGTAGGAGCTCAGATCCCTTTCTTCTTAAAGAATTGAGAAGCTTAATTTTCACTTTTGTTCCTGCCAGCAAGGTTTTAACTTGAGTACTAAAGTCATGTCCCTTTGACAGCTTAAAGGGAAAGATGCTGCAGAAAAGTAAGCTTCTAGCTCCCTTTGCTTGCATCCTCTGTCTCCTCTTTTTTCATTGGTGTTACTGGGAGCTCTGAGTGTGGAGAAAAATGGAACAAACATTGTGATTCAGAGGAGTTTCTTCTCCCATTTCGGCTCTGTGTACATATCAGTCCTTGTCCTCTCAAGTCCAGTAACATGCATACAGCTAAATCTTCTCAACTGGCCACTGAAATGCAGTACTTTCATCTGAGACAGCTGGCAGAGTGTTATCACTCAGCTGTGTACAATTGCATGCTTCAGATTGCTTTCCAGCTTTGTTATTGGTGTTGTCCAAAAACCCCAGATTTACTTCATATTTTTGCTCAGTGTAATACTCACATACGATGTAGTTCTTGGCTGGCCAACAGAAGGGAAAATAATGTTATGTTGGGTTGTTATGTGGAAAGCTTTATAAAAGTTTACTTTGTCTTCATAATATACTGGTTTGCTTGCAAGTTATAGTGTATGGCTTGTGTTGAGACAGTTGTTTTCAGGTCCCTAAAAATGAATGTGAAATGGACCCTTAAAGAGGCCTTTTGTTTCAGAATGCAGAAGTTTATATTGTAAAGCAACCACAATTCTATGATGTGACTTTCCCTTCAAATGGACAAATAGTAACTGCTGTCATACTGTAATAAATCAGAGCAGGAAGCAAAGCAAAACCATAAGCTCCTTTCAGCAATTTTAATCAATTGTCCTCGATGAATTTTCCCTCTGTGGCATGCCATAATGGTTCAAAAATGCAGGCTGGAAAATAGGGGCTCAATGAGTCTCTTCTATAACAAATACTGAGAGGTTAAATGAGATTTTTGTGTTCGCTCTGTTACTCTGCTGTTTTGGAAAGAGAATAGATTCTGGTAGTTTAAAGGAGGAATAAAATGTAAAACCATCATACAGAGGATGAAAGTCAATATCCCTCAGGTTTGAAGACTAGCTAGGTCAAATCATAAGGTCTTCCAGCACATGCTTTCTGTTTGGTATCAGGTATGCATATCTGAACGGGGGGGGGGGGTGTGTGTGCAAAGCTTTGTTATGCAGCTAAGGGTTGCTTCTAGAAAGCACTGCAGAAGCTGAGCGGCCCCAAGGGCATGAAGCCTGCATGAGGAGTATGCAGCTATGGACAGAAGAGCAGCAGACTTGCAATTCCCTCTTCCCCCCCACACCTGCCATGGAAGGTTGGTGAGCTCTTGCAGTCCAAAGCACATGCCTGCAGCCCTTGGCAGAGGCACAGCTGTGTGGCTAATGGGCTACAGCACACTTGGCTGGTGGCTGACCAGGTATATTGTCTCCCAGTGTACAGGTATCTTTCATTTCAGGATGAACATTTAGGTTGTAATTCATCTGAAGAGGAGCTATTTTCAACTATGTTAAGGCTCACAGTGAGGGTCACCTTCCCTCCAGTCTGGGTGTTTGGGGTTGCTGTTTGTGCCAATGCCAATGGCTATCTTGATAGTTTATCTTTTGAGGGACTGGCTGGAGAAAATCACACTGCAAATGATGTTGGGGCTCTGGGAAAGTGAGGGAAGCCCTGAAGCACTACATGAATGGTGCTACGGTGCTTTGAATTGGGTCTCAGTTTTCACTGGAAAACTGAAAACAGACTACCTGGAGCACTATGGTGGAATGATATCTTTTTCTTTCTTGGCAAGAGATGAGACAAAAAAACCTGTCAGTAATTAACAAAAACACCAGAAATCCAGTTTCTGAGCCATTTCCGTTCCTGGCATAGGACAGCGTTTGTAAGGTTGCATTTTTCTTGTGTTTGTAAGATGACATGGAGCTTTTGAAGTGCTTTAATGAAGTGCAGGGCAAAGCAAGAAACTGAGTCTGGTTTCCTTGCACTCAAATGAGATCTTAAATTTTCAGTCTCACCGATTAGAAGGTCAAGGACCTGAATTTAATAATATGCCAAGAGATGGAAATCAGTCTGGTGTTTCCTTAAAGTGTTGTGTGAGCTTGAAGTTTTACTCCTATTTCTCTGTGTCTTCAAGAACTTCATATAGGAGTCAGGGTTTCTTTTGTGGTGTAGGGAGCATAATGTGTACTGCTGTGGTATAACCAGTATATCCTACCATATGCAAGCAAAACTATGGCACTAGATATATTTGGAGAAATTTGTCCTACTATAAATCACTCAGGAGACTTCTAGGATATATGAATTATTGAGAATTAAATACCATATAAAATTCAAATGGAGAGCCTTTGCTTTGCTAGGCACAGCTGGTGTTTAGTGCCATGTCAATGTATACATGTTGTAGTTATTCTGGTTGACTCCCTTTGAAAGTTGGTGCCTGAATTTTAAATCCTCCTGCTCTGTCATGTCCTTTTGAGATCAGGGACTAAGGGCCCATCAGAAGGGGCCTTCGTTCCTCTGATGTTAATACTATCTCAAGTGTTGTCTTCAGGCAAGCCTGGTGTCAATTGTCTAACCTCATCTCATTTCTTTCCCTCAGCTGAACTTTGACTTGGATCGTGGCGTGTTCCCTGTGGTAATCCGAGCGGTAGTGGATGAAGGGGATGGTAAGCATGGTGGTGTGCTCCCTTGGTCGTCTTCTAGCGCTCTTTGAGGTTATGTGACTCCTAAAGGGCAGGCCTCCTTCTGCAAGGAAGAAAACATTTTACTTGTAGCAAAGGCTTGGGGAGCCTTTCCAGAATAAAAATATTTCAGGAGTTCACCTTAACTTCCCTGTGTTAAAAGGGCCCAGCTAACCACGGGTTCTTATATAAAAACACGCTTTTAAAAATAGCCTCCTTTTTTTGCAGGAAAAATGGCCAGTTATTTAGTGTTAGAATAGCGTTTAGGAGAGCTCCTGGCTCTGCCACCAATGCCAGGCACAAATTGGAGAAATTACTTCCTTTCTCTTTGGGTTTTGCATTTGCAGTTTGTAAGGCAAGGAAAGAGTTGGTCTTTTCCCCCTCTTTGAGGGGTAAGTTCTCTTCATAAAAGCTATAGCTAACTGTAGGGTGGGCCTTGCCCTAGGAATGGTCAGAGAAAAAGAAATGGCTTTAAAATGCTCAGGCCACTGTTCAACAAAATACAGCTTCATTCAGCAGTTTAAAATTCTCCTGCTTTTTCTGAAGGGTGCTGAATGGTTACAATAAAAGCGCATAACCTTTGATGAGAAATAATATTGTTGATTATTTTTAAGGCACTTTGCCATTTTGGAGAAGGAAGCCCAGTAAATGTTTAGATTGTTACTCACCTTGCACGGTATTTTCCTTAGGGGGTGTGTGCTTTTGAGCTCCATGTGTTTGCACTCATTCTGAGTGTCAGCAATGAAAAGGCCACGCTTTCTCTAAAATTGGGAGCTATGGTGGTCAGCAGGACCAGCATTTCACTTCTGCATTTTGTAATGTTTTGTACAAAATTTAAGAATAATTAGAAAGGAAAAAATCCATTGTTGATTGCATTGTTTAATGTAGTCACTTGCTCAGTTTCTTATGTTGTAGATGTGAAAGTGCCCAAAAACTCATTGCATTATTTTATAGTCCTCCAAGCAGAGTTAAATAGAACTGGATGAACCAATTTAAAGTGTGACTAACAAAGCACAGTGCAACATAAGGGAAATGACTTCTAAAGTGCATCTATTTTTAGTGATTTCAGGCACTGTTAGTAAAATTGACATATATGTATATTTCTTGACCATAAATATAAAACACCTTCCTCTGTTTATGGAGATTTTGGCAAGGTATTTGTACTTTCTAATGTTGGGCATGCCTAGAAGGACCAAAAATAGAACAGGAGGCAGCATGGGAAGCATACATTTATGCACATACCATGCCCAGTCTTAGCCAATAGTGTACTGTCATGTATTTTAATAACCTGGAAAGGCAATTGCTTTTAAATCCTCTCCTGGAAAGAATATCAGCACAAAAATGTGACACTTAGGCGAGATTTGAGGAAATTGTTGTGTATTTTGGTTCTTTTTTAACTGATGGGACTGGAAGGAGCTGGCCTTGTGTGTTTGGAGCACCTGGAAAATTACGGCTGGCTTGTAACTGCTTGTGTTAAATAAAATTGAATGGCAAATTAAAATAGCAGTCAGCAAGATGTTGGTTTGGACTGAATTCTGCCAGGAGATGTTTGCATGCCTTGAAGAATGTGAGCTTGCAATGTTAGCCCTCTCCCATTCCTGCTAGTGGGATTGCTCTCAGGGAAACGTACAGAAACCCTTCTGGGAGGCAAGGTGCTGCACAGAATCGGTCGCACAGCTCCAGCCACACGCGCTGCTTGAATGCCAGAGGATATGAAGGGAAGCACTGCCTGTTATCTCTTACTTGGCTGTTCAAACTGTGAGGAGGGACCTGAATTTCATTTACCGAGTGAGCTAGAACAGCCTTGCTCTTGGCTGACAGTGTGGGGAGCAAGCAGATGAATTCCCAGTTTTAGCCCTTTTTTCTGCATGCCATTGTGTTCCTGATTGCACCCAAATTGCCGTGACCAGTGTCAGTTACCCAGCAGATCTGCAGGCATGGACTCTCTTCTCCCACGTACTGCTGTTGCCAAACGTGATCATCGTGACATAGTCCGGTGAATGGTTCCTCTTGTTGTCTCTGCTGTTCTAGGGGCGCAAAGGAAGCTGTTGAGGTCCTCTCCCTTTTAGACAACACAGGAGTTGCTTCCTTCAGCTGTTAATTTTCTGGTATAGAGCTGATAGTAGTGTCTGCCAGCTCTTCTAGATGTGCTGAGCACAGCGTGGGTACTCGTGGGTCCAGGCAGGGTGAGGTAGTTACATGCTTTCCCTTCCATCAGTGACGACTCCATAACCTCTGTCTCCCATTTCCATATGATGAGTCTGAACACAAATAAGCAAAAGGGTCCAACCAGTTGGAGCTGAACAGAACCTTAGAGTCTTGAGCCAGAGAGACTGGGATTGTACCTTGGCTTCCTCTATTCTCTATTTGCTGAGGGAGCTATGAATGCAGTACAGAAACCTCTGACAGCCCCTTCTCAATGCTATTGGATTAAGAGGGAGGCCTCGAGTTTGAAAGAGGGAAGATGTGATGTTTGTCTTTGGGAAGAAAAGTCAGAGAACTGGACGGAGATGTTTCAGTGTCCAAAATTGGTATGAGAAATAAATGTTTTATAAGCATGTCAGATTAGAATGAAATAAAGTGATAAGTACCGGGACTGGAAGTGCTGCCAATTGCTGTTAAACCAGATGGATTTATTAATCTCTGTGATAGATTCAGGTAATTAAAAACAGGAATTTGAGGGGACAGCAGAATCCCACTGAGCGCTTTGTTTTACTTTCCCTTTCCAGCCTCTGAAAACAAAGTGGGATAGTTTGGAGCACCCACGATAACGAAGCCATGTATGTGTAGGGCCCACCACAGACCGCAGCAGGGTTATGTTCTTGCTCTGCAGGAGTGTGAGATAAACCAACCTGACAACAAGATAAGAAAAGTTTTAAATTGCAAGAGGAGATGAAAATAGAACAGATGGCAGTTTAGAAATTGTGACTGGACTAAAATTCAGCTCGGGGTGGTTTTATGCTTGTGCTGTTTTCAAGGTTTAACCATGACTGCTCTTTCTCTTTTCGCAGTGGTGGTTGAGGTGACAGGTCATGCCCATGTTCTTCTGGCTGCATTTGAAAAGGTAAATGAGTTCTTTTTTCCTTCTGTCCTTGTTGTTGTATATATAAATGTTTACATGGGTCATTAGTTCGTATTTATATAACACTTAGCCCAACAGAGTCCTGGCCTGTGACTGGGGTTCCTGAGTGCTATTGTAGTACAAATAATTGCTTGCAGCATCTCCTGTGCAGCCTGTAATTATCATCTGTACCTGAGCTGGTCACTCAGCTAATTGCAGCTGGTGTTTCCTGTGTGTGGGGAGAGGGTGTGCTTCAGTGGCTGTGATGTCTGAGGGTGGAAGGTGTTGACCATGGCTGCTACCGTGCAGTTTTCCAGGGCCTCGTGATCTCTTTGCAGAACCGGATCTACTATGTCCAGACCCTGTTGCACCATTGTTTGGCCTTAGTTTACATGTAGGACCAAGCCCTTTTAAAGAATTAGGATACATCCTGCATAAAGACTTTGAGCTCTACTACTTTTTGGTGGCATGTTTGATGTAGCTGACTGCTGCCTACATGGTAAGGCTAAGCCAAGCTGTATGCACAAGCCTTGATAGCAAAATCTCTTCCCATGATAATTGGACCCTGAAAACAGTTGCAAGACCCATAACTGCACCATGTTGTGTCTGGCTGTGGTAATACTGCAGATGCATATCCTGGGCAAGTGATACTTGTAGTGACATGCTAAGATGAGGCAAGAGATGCTGGAGCAGAGCTGGGCATGTAAAGAGGAGCATCATCAATGCTGTGCTGTTAGAAATTCCTCACTTCCAGGCTGACATGCAGCTGACTTCTGTTTCTCAATCTGCTCTATTCCTGCTGTATCCCTGAGCAAGTTGCCAGGTTTATTCTGTTCTTCCTTGGTGGATAATGTGGATGGTGACAAGCTGAGTCAGAGGGCATGGGAAGCACAGTCAGTCCTAAGGAAGCCCTGTGGCTGGGAGATGCTCTAAGTGTTCTAGGTTGCTTTTTTATAGGACTTAGTATGTGAAGAAAATGAGTTTTCATGTGTTAGAAAGGCTGCTCTGAGCACTGGCTCTGTAGGTGGTTCTACTCCTGGCAATTAGAGATCTGTCAGAAATGAGATGGGCAGCTGCAGCACCCCTGGGACTAGGGCAGGGATTTTATTCTTCTAGTTTCTTCCTCCAGCTGATCTGGAAAACCAAAACACACTGGAATATCCCTCAGTTATTGTTCAACAGCACCTGGGAGAGGACAATGTGGGCAGTGGGTCCTTGGGGAAGGCTCGAGTCTTTGGAGCCCATCTGTCATCTTGGTGGGAGAGTACTGTAGGCAGAGACCCCCTAGCCTTGCAAAATGATTGTTCAGCAATTTCTGAGGAGAGAAAAATAGATAAGACTGCCACCTGCCTGCATGTTACAGCCTGATTTTGAAGTATTCTATGCATGTTTGCCTTCCTCATCTGTGAGACTCACCTGTGCTCCCCTTGCTATTGCCTTCATAGCTTTTTGGTTGTAGCTAGGTTCAGATTCGACTTTGGATCTGATGATGTGAGTACGATTCTTACTTACAAAGGAGTGTGTTTAGTTGCTGTTTTCCAAGTACCCAAACATAGTGCTGTTGCAGTAAGCCTAGCCTCTGTGGTCAGGGAGTAGAGCTCTCGCTTGGACCTGGATTTGTCCCAGCTTCCCGTTCTAGCATCCTGTGGCCAGCACTTGATAATAGCACCTTATAGAAAGCAGGAAAATGCACACACATTGGGAATGTATTAGCATGAGGGTGGAAGTGAAGCTTTGGAAATTTCTGTCTCAGACTGGAAAGTGGCTTGAACTGCAAGGATTACAGGTAAATTCCACCTACTGTGCAGAACCTCTGAGCTCTCTAGATGCACAAAGGTGATGACAAAAGCCCCCGTAATGTTCAGGGAGCTGAATGATGTATGCAGCAAAACTGGAAACCAACTAAAGCTGGTCAGGCCATTCCGTCAATGCTGGATTATGTCCTGTGTCCAGGTCTGAGCTCAAGGATTGAAAGTGCTTCCCTTCTTTTTCTATTCTGTGTGTGCTATGAGAGGGAGGTGCTGTCTGGTGGGGGCACTTTTTACTTCTTATCTTCCACTGAATGCTTAAAACAAGATAAAAATTTTTCTTTTAATAAAAAGTCACAGGGCAAAATGCTTGTTGAGTTCTTTCTCCTCCCTGTTTGATTAAAATATATTCCCCATCCTTAGAATAATGGCAGCTTTTGAAGTGTAGGTCCATAAATCCAGAAGAGGTCCTTGCTAATACCAGTGCTGCTGTTCAGACCATGTTCAGAGAACAGACAGACAGACCAGCAGGCCTTGGTAACTTGCTATTTATATGTATCTTTAAGATCAGAATAGTAACTTTGATGCTATGCATAGTCTGGCCTTGCAGCTCTTCCACAGGCAGAAACTCGGGGCTTTGTTTGCCTGGAAAACAAGACTGTTTTGTCTTTTGGTGCAATGTTGTCCCTTCCTTCTGAAACTCCTTCAGCAAACAGATGTATGTCTGCGACTGTTCACAGCAGCAGGGCCTGCTGCAGTTTCCCCTAAGTCTCCTTTCCTGCTCTCTAGACTGTGGCAGGAGAGTTGGTTTCTTTCAGTTTAGTTGGCCCTTGGGGGTGATGGAGGAAATAGAAAGAGCATGCTATTCCTATCATTAGTTCTGACACCAGGTATATACAGAATTGTTCCAGCCATGCCTGCTGCTACTCAGCAAATGAAAGGCTCAAGGCAGTCACCACAGCTCTGAAGATGGCAATGTGGAGCATGTGTGACTTGCTTCTGACTCCATCCAGTGGACAAGCCTTGTTCGTTCTCAGCCTCATGCCAACCCCCTGCTCTCTTGGGGCTCTGGCCTCAAGAGTGGCTCTGTAACTGGGTGTTACTTAGGGTGTTAACAAGTCTTGCTGGACTGGCTGAAGAGTTTGCACACAGTTGGACTGCTTGCAATCTGAATCATAGAATCATTTAGGTTGGAAAAGACCTTCAAGATCATTGAGTCCAACCATCATCCATGCCCACTAAACCATGTTATGGCGTACCCCGTCTATGCGCTTTTTGAATACCTCCAGGGATGGTGATTCAACTACTTCCCTGGACAGCCTATTCCAATGTCTGAAAGCATTCAATGTGTCAGGGGATTTTTGTGTTTGCTCTCACCCACTTCAGCCAGGTTTAACTTGAGCCAAGTCCATCTAGCTCTGCACTGGAGCAGACAAGGAGCACTCCGATACCCTGTTCCACTAACTCTGCTGGGAATGATTGCCATTCAGGCTGTCCTGGTTATACGTATGCCACCGTCCCCTTAGCTAGCAGACACCAACTTTGATCATGAGTCTGTTTTAATTGGTACACTTCAACTATTTAATGCATTTCCTTTTTTTCCTGCTAGCACGTTGATGGCAGTTTTTCCGTGAAGCCGTTAAAACAGAAGCAGATCGTAAGTACCTGTTTCCTGTCTACTGCTTGATTAAAGATATTTGCTGGTGTCCCACAGGTGCCCAACTGTACCCAGTGGGAACCTTCAGTGTTAGCTCACCGAGAGCCTGAGACCACACCTTGTTAGCTCAGATATCACAAGCAAAGGCGGTGAGCTGCTGGCAACCCTTAACTTTGGGTTGTTTGTTGCACAACCAGATGTGTGTTGGGGGAACAAATAAGGCAGCGTGGGACTGGCAGAGCAATGGTGCAGGTCTCTGTGCTCCTCTGGGAGGCAGGCATTTTGTATTGATCCAGTCCTCCCTATACGTTCCTGTCTTGCTGGCATTTGGCATTTGAATACAAAACTGGCAAAGCACAGTACTGATGCTTCCATGTGTGTATAGGTGCAAGTAAATTACGTTTGCATAACTGAGCTTAAGTGCTGTATGTATTAAGTAGTGTGAAGCATGTCTGTTCATTGACACGTGTTAAGTAGTGTGAAGCATGTCTGTTCATTGAGACTGCCTGATCTCCTTAGGTTCTGTGTTTTGTGGTGTGGAAGGATATCTTTACAGGCTCCCAGTGTCCTACGTGGAGGCTGAAAACTGTTAGCTTTCCGTGTGTGTGTGTGTGCACGCGCGTTAAGATACTAGGGGACTGTCTTCTCCCTGCACAAGCTTCCTTGTCGTGCCTATGGTATCTCTGGAGCAGCCCCAGGGCCTGAGACCTTTTGGCTCATCTTGCCTGTCCCCTACAAGTAGCCTGGTACTTAGCAGTCACAGACATGGTCTTGCTTTGAAGCTGTTGTTTATGTACCAGACTGCACACATTATGAGGGGAAGGCAAGAAGGAAGACTGGCAAACAGGGAAACATCAGGGATCTGTAGCCCTTTTTTAGCCCGTTCTGGTGTGGTGTGATGCACAGAAGCTGTGTAGTGCCTTACCAAGTTTGAACTTGCATCCAGTCTTGCATAGAGAGAAATACATAAGCAACTGCAAACTGCTAAGATTGCCAAGAATTTCAGCTTCTGAAAGGCAATATGGTAGTGATCCTGCTGCAAGGATCAGTTTAAAATGCCTTGGAGAAAGAGATGAGATTTTGGTGGTCAATCCTTCACCTTTAGATGTGTGCTGTTTCTGCTTTAAGTGTATTTGACTTCAGCTGCTTGCGATTGATGGCTAGTGTTTTCTAATCTGAATTAAAAAGGCTTTTACTACCAAGAAGGTAATTAAGTGCCTTGATTAGACACTTACTGCTCTAAGATGTTCCTTCCAGTCCCCAGGTCAGAAAAGAGTCACTAAAAAGTATCGGTTAATCATATACCAAAATCACATTTGGTAATTCACTATCTGCCTTGCCAATGCTGTGCAGAGACTCATGGCTTGTCCTTCAGACTTGCTCATGCCTAGTGACAGCAATATTAGCCCTCGCTGCCAGAGCTTTATCCCAGTGCTAGTGGTGAGTTACTTGCCCCTCCAGCCTGATGTCTATTCTGAGCCCTGTGTGTCCTAGACTGACCTGCATTCCCCTCCCTTCCTTGGTGCTTAACTTGGCTGTGTTGCAGCATGATCTACTGGCTAGCTGATCGATCTGGGTCCCACAGGTATTTTTAATATAGAGAGACAGAGACTATTTCAGAAGGTGTCTATTGAGCATGTGAAGGCAGGTTTGTAATGGGAACATCCCATGAAGGGAGAGCTTGTGTGCTGTGCAAGAGGCTGCCTGAGCGCTAAGGGAGCAGAGCAGTGTGATGCTAGTGGTGCGTCTTTCTCATATATTCTTCTGATCAGAGAATAGCGTTCGTGAGCTGATTAAAAGCCCCTCATTTTTTTTGCTTGTGGGTTTGGGGGGGGGGATTTTTTTTTTTTTTTTTAAAGTGCTTACATGGCTGTGAGCTCTCTTGAGCTGGTGTTGGGTTACTGTGCACACTAGCGCAGTGTGTGTAGCATTCTCCATTTAGCACTCTGGACTCCCCAAATGGAGGGCTGTCTTGCTGGAAGTGCTCTCTAGGGAAGTTCCCACCCTACCACAGTATGGTTAGCTGACTCCTGCAGTGAAACAGTGTGTGCTTGTCTGTCTTTACTGGCAGAGCATGTATCTTCCCACTCAGTGTTTGGTTGTGGGTAATTTTTTTTTATTGGCAGTTTGTAAAATGTAATGCTTATATGTTCTCTCCTATGGCTTTTAAAATAGAAGGAAGCTCTTGCTAGAAGAACACACAGTACCACTGAAACTGAGATAGCATCTGCACCCATGAGAGCATAGAGCAGAGGTATAGAGTATATGTCTGGAGTAAACCATCTGTATAACATTGTACATTCTTCCCCATCACTGCTTTTCTTTTGCCTTCCCCTCCTTGCCATTGCCTGGATTGCTGGGTACCTTTTGTGTGCATCGATCTCTAAAGCTCTTTGGGAGCAGGAAGCAGCAGCTAATGAGCTGAACTGCTTTGTTCTGTCAGCTGAGATCAGTTATAATGTATGTACCAACCTGTTTAAAGAAATTCAGCATGGATGAATACAAACAGATGGATCGGCAGAAAAACATGACCTGGACTTGGCCAGTGGCTCCTGTGTGCATCAGCTGAGGCTGTATATAGCAACAGAAGCCTTTGGAAGGATGACGTGGTGTGGGATGGGTTGGAGAAACGTGGAGGTGAACTGCATTGAGCACAATCACCTACTCCTTATTTACTCCTACTCTTTTAAAACCTAGAGATCTTTCTAGTAAGAGCCATGTTGCACTGCTCACCCTTTTCCTACTGGGACATGAGCTTCTTGGGGTTTTTAGAGGCAAGCAGTTAAAACAAACGCAGAACGTTTGGTCTCTTCCTTCCTGACCTCTTCTTTGCTTTGAGCTGACCACTTCTGCACTCACTATCACTCATGATGATTCCCTGAGGAGTCAGGATGCTGTAACAAGACTCTCTTTGAAATGTCAAGTTACAAAAGGACATCTCCCACGTAATTGTTCCCAAACTTCCTGGGTGAGTTGTGAGCTGCTGCAGAGGATTTTGCTCAGCAGTCCAACAGCTGACCTCATTGCCATGAAATGCAGGCCTAGAACAGATTGTCTGTAAGCTGCATGCTGAGTTAAATGGGGAGGCTCTGGAATTAGTTTGTTAAAGCTGCTGCGTCCCAGCTCAGAGCATTTCTGAACTGGCTAACGGGCAGGACTAGCTCCTGCACCCATCTTGGCATGTGACATCTTCTGCAGCACTGAAATCCCATGGCAAAGCCATTGCTTTTCTGAGCACCTGGCCTGACAAAAGGAGAGGAGAGAGGCCAATTATATGTGGAAATGCCAAAAGCCCTGGGGTTGATGAGCTGTTGAAGTACTGGGCTCCCGGTGGCTTGGCTTCACTGCATGGCATCAAATGGACAGTTACAGGATGTCGGGAAAGCGTTTCCTTCCCCTATTTGCAAGATGTGTCAGTTTGATACCTTGCAGCCCCTTCACCATTTTACCTCTTGTGGGGTTTTGTGCAGAGGAGCATGCCCTGCTCTGGGGAAGCTGCTGTGTAGCACCAAATCTCGGGGGACTGGTATCTGTGTGCATCCTTGTAGAAGCTGTTCCTCACAGCTGTGAAAGTCTTGCGCTGTACTTGCTGGCTAAGCTAAGGAACAGGGGAGAACATCCCGCAGTGCAGAGGGGACTTGCCTTGCTGGCACTTGAACTGTCAGCCTTTCCTGCCTTAGTGCTTTAATTCAGCTGCTTGAGTGAGTTTGCAGGCAGGTGCCAGCATTTGCATAAAGGCATGGCTTGGAGGAGTATGCCCCAGGTTTGGGGCTGTGAGCAACTTCCATCTGTGCCTAGAGCACTTTCTGCCACCACACACCCCAATTTAGAGATGCCACCAAGGGCCTAGGGATGGTAATAAATGACACTGCACTAATGTAGGGTTGTCCCTTGAGTGCTTCTCATGCTAAGGGAGATGGTTTGTCTCTCTTCAGTAGCTTGAACTTATGCTCCCAGGTGATGAACAGGGAAGTGATGTGCAGCCGTGATATGCCAGTAACGAGCTGTTGGCCCAGCACCTCTGCTGAGGTTACAAAGATGGGTGGAAGTTCATCTTGGTTAAAGTTAAGCAGTACTTCACAGAAGGAAAGGACTGTGGAAGGCTGATTGCCTCTGGCTTATTTAATCTATGGGTGCACGTTCCCTCTTGATCTCTGAGACAAGCAGAGCATTTGTTTTTTAGATGATTTTGATAGTGGCAAAAGTGGCCAGTTGGGCTCCCTGCTCAGACCAGACAGGATGGGCACCACTTTTTGAGCAAGGAGAGACTCATTTTCCCAGCTCTCCTTTGCGATACTTGTTTCTGTTAACTTTTTCGTGTAGATATAGGGGAGCTGGCTGTTGTGGGTGTAACGTGGCCATTTGACATGGGGAGGGGGGAGGTGATCACGAAACAGCAATAACAGAGCAGCTGGCACTCCAACTGTTGTCTTCTTCCCTAGGTTGACCGGGTGAGCTATCTGCTTCAGGAGATCTACGGCATTGAGAACAAAAACAACCAAGAGACCAAGGTAAAGGTGCTCAGGAGGCTCCTGCTTTTGAGCTTAACTATGGGGCTTGGCAGGGCAATGTGTAGGTGCTTCCCAGAATGACTGTCAAGTGTGTGTCATTCCTGCAGGCACTGAAGAAGCCCAAGGATCACAAGTCTTCACTGTTGTAAGGCCCAAACAGTCAGTGGAGTTGTGCTGAGATAATTTTAGATAGTGTGAGACTCTGGAGGATGTTCCCTGAGGCTGGGATTGCTGGGAGAGAAGGGCATCAGTGCCCCGTGGGTGTTTCAGAGCACTGATTTTTTAAGGCTTGTAGAGACAGCCGTGGGACAGTGTCGCTGCCTCTCTGCAGTCAAGGCAGTCATGCATGGTGTCTGTTCTTTGCTCCTGTGGTTCCTTTATGTTCTCCTGTTTAGGGGGGGACCACATGGTCCTGTAGTGTTGCAGGGAACTGAGCTCTCCTAGGGCTTGCCGGTGTCCAGAGAGCAGCCTGCATTCCCCAACAAGAGGGAGCACAGCATCACTAAGAGGTGCATATGCAAATGCTATAACCAGAAACATTGCCCATCTTTAGGCAGGACCTTCTGCTGAATCCCAGCTTGCTGCACAGCCCCATGCAGATTATGGGACTGCTTTATATTTGCTTTAGCCTTACGAAGAGCTGCCCTTTGCTGCCACCTGGGCTGCAGAATGTACCAAGTGCTGGCCTGAGGATCAGATGGCTCTGGTGCATGTAGTGCGTGATTTGCAAACAGAGGAGTAGCCACAGAGCAAGACAAGCAGGATTTCCTCTCCAAGCAATGCAGTGTCCTGCCCAAAGCATCCTGTGATCTCTATCTGTCTGTTCCAACAGGTAGCACCTGAAGAGGCAGGAGGGAGAAGTCTTTTCAAAGATTTTTCTTGCACAGGATCTATTTAAGAGGATTGAAGGCTTCTGTTCGGATCCTCCAGGGTCTTGTGATGATTCTCTTGATCCAGCAATCACACATTTGTGGCCCATCAGACAAGTGGCCTGGAGCCATTTTTGTTCTTCCTAGTATACTTAGCAAACCATATGAATGGGAAAGCAAAAAGTCTGCCCTCCCTACCTCCCAAAATAGATGAGGAGTGCATGTGACGGGGCAGACAGGCTTGCAGCCTTTTGCTGGCATAGTCAGGAGGCTGGGTGCAGATGTGGCAGCAGCAGATGCTGTATATTGCTGTTTACACCAAGGTTGCCTGTGGTCTAGCATGTTTTAGCCCTGGTAAACAAAGGGGCCTTGTGAAGTGGGACCAGGCGAAGGTGGAGGGTGGCCCATGCTGGGTCATCAGTTTGGTGGGCTCTGGCATAACTTCTGTGGCATTGGTGGGGAGACTGGGGTTCTCGGGTGTCAGTGAAGAGAGCTCTTGTGGTTGGAGAGTGGCTTTCTCCTCCCAGCAACAGCTTGGTGGCTGTAATCCAATTTGTGGGGCTCTGAGTGACTGAAAGATTAGTGTGGTGCATGTTCATGTTGAATGGGTTCACACTGACCTTTTTACCAGGGTAGCTGTGAGCAGGTGAGCATCCCAGGCTGGTTCTCCTGCAGCTGCATCGACACTTGTGCCAGCAGAGGAGCCTGGTAGAGATGCTGTGGCAGGAGAACCACTCACTCCATCACTTGTTCAGAGGACCTGTGGAAACTGGGCTAGGCATGGCTGGAGTGCCTCCTTCTGTCCAGCCCAGGGGCAGCCTGACTTGCTGCCTGCCTCAGTTTTGTGCCTCCTCCTTTGGGGGCTGCTCTCTCCCTGTGGACATGGGGCAGAAAGGCCAGACTGCCAAAGGGCCTGCTTCCCTGCTGACCCTAGGAGCCACCAGGCTGGCAGGCAGGAGCTTGTTGTTGGTTCCCGTCAGCCAAGGGCATCCCTACCCCAAAGGGGCTCCCCTCAGCACACAGCCTAGCTCTGGGGAAGCACAGCAATGCTACGAATTCACAGTATAGTGCTCTGGTCTCTGGCCTTTCGTGAGCACAGAGCAGAGCCCTGAGAGGAAGGAGTGTCCATAGCAGGGCTGTGTGGGCTGGAGCTTGCTCTCCTTGAGAAACACTCTGCTGAGAGCTGTGGAAAGAGGATGCCAGCTCTCTCAGAGACTTTTGGGTGGGAAATTTTCCCAGGCTCCAGAGTCCCTTGGCAGTTTGGCATGGCCCTTTCCATTCACATGACAACATCTTGCCTCTCATTGCAGCCTTCAGATGACGAGAACAGCGACAACAGCAACGAGTGTGTGGTTTGCCTGTCTGACCTCCGCGACACCCTCATTCTGCCCTGCAGACACCTCTGTCTCTGCAATTCCTGTGCTGACACCCTGCGGTACCAGGCCAACAACTGCCCCATCTGCAGGCTGCGTGAGTATGTGCCCAGGAAACAAGGGCATCTTTCTCCTTCCTAGGCTCCTGTTAAGTCAGTACAGGCTGCGAGAGGCATCGTGTATTTTATATACCCTACCCCAAGGCTCAGCATCAAACATGCTACTGTTCTCACTGGCATCTGGAGATTCCTGGCACCTAAAATAACTGTCCTTAAACAGGGAAGGAGGAGAGCACATGGGAGAATGGCCCTTTGTCCAGTGCCTCCCTGGCCACTTGGCCTCTCCCTGGGATGGATCTGGAGGTGCAGGTGCTCTGAGCCGTGCCATGTAGGCAGTTCTTGTGTTTCGGTGAAGATGATAGAAAATCCCCCAAAGGAGGGGGGTGGTTTGTCCTGAGAGCATCTGACTGAAACAGCAGCCAGCCTCACCAGAGGGCTGCCCAAGTACTTTGTGTGATTTTCTTTTTTTTTTTTCCCCTCTGACAACCCTACTTTGACTTCACCAGGGAGGCAGAGATAACAGTCAATTTGGAATCTTTTGCTTTGCCAAGAGCGTTAGGAGGATCTGCTTAACCCCTGCATTGCTCAGCTCCCAAAAGATGGAAAAAAATACCTGTTCTGACACTCAGACAGCACTTGCTGAATTCCATGTCCTTTCTCAATAGCACAGAGGCACAGGAGTCTCTTGAGAAAATGCCTATGTTTTTGCTGGAATAGATTGTGTGTTTCACCCTGTGCTTGGTCTCTGAGGTATTTGATTGTTTCTAATGGATACTTCTCAGGAAAAGAAAAAAGAGTTTAAGACAGATGTTTGGCCTGAGAAATTAAGTCTAAACAGTTCAAACTTGGCAAAGATACAGTAACCAAAAGGAAGATCTTATCAGAGGAAGTGCCAGACAGCTTTGACTGTAAGTAGCACAACTTAAAACACAGGAACAGCATTATGTCATCTGCGTGCTGCAGCAGAGTAGGTTGTATTTGTTTGGAAAGTGCCCCCATGGAAGACTTCCTGGGAATCTGCTTCTGGGGAGTGCAGAGGCAGCAAGGATAGATTTGCACCTCTGTCCTCCGGCTCTACGCTGATCTTGCAAGCAGCTGGGTGCAATAAGAACTAGAGAAATGCCTAGGCTTTTCCTTATGTGTGAGCAAGTTCTTACAGCTGCATCAGAACAGATGTCTGGCTCATTCCTATGCGCCCTTGGCACAGAGGAACTAACAATATTAAAGATCTGCAGATAGAAAATGGGACTGTGGGCAGGGAGTGGAGATCAAAGCTGTTGTGGTGGGAGGACCAAGGGATCACTCTGCTGGAGACAGGAGTATAGCCACTAACCCTCTGGCTGGGTTCGCAGCTATTGCAGTGCACTGCCCAGGGCTGAGCTCATGTTTTTCTTACTGTGTTGTACAGTATCAGGCCCAAAGCACCTCTGCACATGAGTGTAGCAGGGCAGGCAGTGCCTGTTCTCCGCAAGGCCTGCATGTACCCAGCCTTTTTCGGCCAGCAGATCTCTTTCTTGTCTAGATCAATTGACTAGAAGCTAGCCCACAGCACTTGGCTTTGGTATGCTCCATGGCCCTGCTCCCCATGCACACAGGGAGTTCCCCCATACCGACAGTGTGTCTGCAGCAAGCCAAGGAGCTCTGGCATGCAGCTGGCATGGCCTGGTCCTGCGTGGCCATGTGCTCACCTGCCTACTGTTCTCTCCTAGCCTTCCGTGCCCTGCTGCAGATCCGGGCTGTGAGGAAGAAGCCGGGGGCTCTGTCGCCAGTGTCATTCAGCCCTGTCTTGGCACAGAGTGTTGACCATGATGAGCACTCTGTAAGTACCTCACAACCCTGTGTACAAAGCCTGGGTGCTGGTCTCAGCCTGAGCAGGCAGCTTGTGTGTGCGCACGAGTTGCTTGGCCTGATGGCTGGCATCCCTGGGGTCTCAGGAGGTGTGCTCAGACCTTGGAGCAAGGTCTTCCTGAGCAGTGCAGCCTCTCTTGTCAACCTTGCTAGACAGCCAGGATCTCTTCTCTTGTGGGTTAATAATACGACTGGTTTTAGCCAAGTGCCCTCCTGTCTTTTGGAGGAAACAAACCCACAGAAACCTCAGTCTGAGAAGGTTTCTTGGGGCCTGTCCCAGCAGAAAAGTGGCAGAGTCTGGGCATGACAGGGTGGGAGCTGGGAAAATGGGGGGGATTACAGTTTGACTTGCACGCACATCTGCGTGGCAGCACGCTCTGATGAAATGCCTTTGGCATTGGGGTTCCCAGCACGGTAGCAGAAAGGCCTCTTTGTGTCAGCCTCCCTCAGTGATCAGGGTCTCAGCAGGCAGCTGAGGGAGCGTGGGATGGAAAGTGTGGTGCTGGCGGCCTTGGGGCCAGGTCACACATCCTTGGTGTGGTGAGGGCAGCAGCTCATTGCCTGAGCAGTGCTGTTGCACAGCTGACTCTGGCAAGACACATGAGATCAGAGTGAGGAGAGGGAGATCTTCATCTAGATCATCTTACAGACTTCATGGGAAGAGAAAGATACTGTCACAGAAAAAGCCTGGTTTAATCCATCTGTCCTCTTCAGCGTTATAGCCCTGCTGCCTTCAACTGGGGCTAAGAAATAGAGCAGGGGAGAAAACCCGAGGGTTGTTGTGAAGCAGAGTGTGGTGTGTAGAGGAGACAGGTGCTGTCACCTGGAGCGAGGTGAGGAGATGCTGTGTGTCTCTTCGTGTCACTAATCTCAAGAAACAACTTCTTTAAAACATGGTTTTCTCTTGACAGTGTCCCTTTAAACCCCTTAAAGTGAGCACTGTCTCACTGCCCAGCAGGAAACCTAGAAGGGAAACAGTAAGTGGATTTGGTTGTATTTGCTCCTATGGCAATTCTTAGCCAGCGGTGTCACTAGCACGTGGAAGCGTTACACATGCAAGGGCTTGCTAACACGCTGGGTTTGACTTGTGCCCCTGCACGGGCTGCGACACTCCATGTACTGCCTCCATGTTAGTGGTGAGATGCTCACACCCTGCATGGATGATCACTAACCTCTGGTTCGCGTGCGGAGTAATAAGCAAGGTGGAAGCAGCTTGCCACAGGGGTCTGATGCTGACTCTTAGGGACTGTCCCCAGGTCCTGAGCCTGGCTGCTTTATAGTTCCTAGCCAAGACATTTTCATAGCTTTGTAGGACTGTGGGCAAGCTGCTGTCCCCTTGGCTCACCCAAAAGCTTCCTTGCACTTTCTCATCCCCTTGGCAGTTTGGCCTGGGCACATCTTATTGTGGTTTACATCCCAGTGCTGGGATGTAGAGGTAGACAAATAGACACAGTTGGACCAGGTCTTGTATTCAGGAACACTGGCTGCAATGGGCTGTTTTGCTTTTACAGACCCAGGAAGGATGGAGCTTGTTTTGTTGGGGGATTCTCAGAGCTGGTGTGCGAGTGTGTAACTGGAACACTGTGCTGGGGACAGGATGAATGGCAATTGTGGGGGACCAGGAGCTGGGAATGGGAAAGATGAGGGGGGGGCCCAGGCCAGGAAAGGTCTGTTTGTGCGCTCTTTGTGTACTCCCATCAAAGGCAGCTGTCATTGGTGTCAAGGAGGCTGCAGTTTTCTTTTGCTCAAGCCGGCCTAGGTTCTTGGCCTTACGAGGAATGTGGCTTGCTGTGCTTGTCAGGTCTGGAGAAAACCTGAGGCTGGGTTCAGGTAATCAGGCTACTGCAAGCTTGGCACGATCCTGGCTTTCTGCAAGCCTCCTACACCGACTAGCAGTACTGCTGGAGCAGTGGGCTCTATGGGTGGTGTAGTGGTAAGTGTCCCAGGAAAGAGCTGTGTCTCTTAGGGTTGTTTAAAAGCTCAGTAACTTGCAGCAAGGGTGTTGTAGCCACTGGCTGAGAAATCGTCCTCCAGCCTTTGAGCTGGGTTGCAGACCCTGAACTTTCACCACAGCGAACCAAAATGAGCAGCTTTTGAACCCTCAGGCCTTAGTCTACACAGTCAGGAGAAAATGTCCCAAACAGAAGCTAGGGGGTTTTGTCTCCCTGACTTTTCCATCCACAAAATAGCACCTCTGAGCTGCTGTCTGGAAATGAAATGTTTTTGTGGAGATAGCTTTTGGCCCCACCGCCTACAGGTAGCAGCAACTGTGAACTGATTCCTTGTTCTGCTGACTTGGTTATCTTGCAATCACCAGCTATGGTCTTCAGCGCAAGCTCATAACCATCACAAGACCAATACTTGGGGGATGCGGGTTGATGCTTGACCCCAGCTGCCACTTGTTCTTTCCTCCCCATCAGATCTAGCTCCTTCTGTGACCACAAGTGGTCAGTTCAACAGTCAACTCCCACCAAATTAATGGCTTTGTTGGAACAGGTTGCTGGGCAGGCTCAACTGCAGCTGTGTGATTGGGAGATCAGGCACAGAGAAGCTACAGGAGTTCATGGTCAGGCTTAGCAGCAATACGCCATCTTAGGTACAACATAGAACCATCTCCCTGAGGACACAGGACTGAAACAGCTCAATTTAATGTAAGCCTGAACTGCTGCAGTCTTGCCTCTTTGTTTGCAGCTGGCTGGGCTGAGCTGCCTATGGCTTGCTGGGTTGCAGCATAAACCCCACTTGCCTCTGAGTCCACAGGATCTTTATGATTAGGAGGATTTTTGGAGTTAAACCAGTATTGGTTTAATGGCTTTGCAAGGGTCCCTTTGACTGGCAGCTTAGTGAGTTACAGAGGGAATGGGAATTGGTGGAGTTTTGCCCTCCCTGCCCTTACAGGGTCAGTGATTTTGTGATCCCTTTCCTACCTTTTAGCAGAGGCGACTGTGCAGAGAGCCAGCGTTAGCAGCTGAGAGGACTGAGACCATAGGAGAAGTGAAAGTGGTGTAGGCTCCAAGGACCAGCTGTCACCTGGGGCACACGTACTCCCCTCCTTTGTCTCTCTCTTAGTGACACTGGTGGTGCTGTGAAACAGCTGTGTGTACCAGGTCTGGAAGCACAACTAGGGTGCTTATTGAGCTAGAAGGGTCTCTGAACCATTGGAGGAACTTTTAGGAAAAGAATCCATATGTTTTTTATAGCAGCTTTGTTAGGAACATGCTTTCTCACCCTCCTTGCCCAGCTTTTGAAGGTACGGCGGGGGGTGCCCAGCCATGTTCCAGCTTGCTGAGATGCCCAGTCTCTCAAGCATTGCTCTGGAAACTTACCTGGAACATCATGAGCGTTACAACCCAAAGGGGAATGTGTGGCTGTTGCAGGGAAAGGAGGCTGAGGGTCCCTGGAGAGGTGGCTGTGGGGATGGGCTGTCTGGGACCACAGTGTGGGAGGTGCAGGGCTGGGCTGCAGCGAGGCCTCCCCTTCTAGGGGGGCTTCCAGCCTGGTGAGGGTTTCTTAACGTGCTCCTCATTTTCTCACCCACAGAGCTCTGACAACATCCCTCCGGGCTACGAGCCCATTTCCTTGCTGGAAGCGCTGAATGGCCTTCGCTCTGTTTCCCCGTCCATCCCGTCAGCTCCGCTGTATGATGAAATCAACTACTCTGGTGTGGTGGATGGGATGCCGCCTGCGAGCCGACCGCTTGTTGGGATGGACAGAGTTGTGGAGAGCAGCCACCAAAAGGGGAAGCGGAGCAAGTCTCCAGATAGGTCAGCACAGGGGTGGAGGGGTCCACTCCTCTTGCAAGCCCTGAGGGCTTGTGGCCACACACACTGGGAGCCAGGAGAGGGCTCTGGCTGGTCTCATCACTGGTAGCACTGCTAACTCAGAATTTTAGGAGGCCAACAGGTACTCATGCCAGTGAGAGAATTGGGACATCACTCCTGTGTTCAGCCTGAGGTTACCATCTTGTGTCTCCTTAAGGGCTGGCTTTGTCACCAAAAGAAAGATGTTTTTTAACAACAAGAATTTAATCCAGACTTTGGATGGAAATGTTTCCTTTCCAATGCAGTTAGTTCCTCAATTTGCATTTGACATCCAAACCTTGTTGGATTTCAGCTTTCCATGGAGTTTCCCAGGAACAAAAGAATGGGGTGAGAAGTGACCTGAATTTCAGAGCACAAAATGCTGAATGAGATCCTTTAGTTGTCTGAAGCCTCCTCTACTGGCCTTGTGATGGAGAATGTAGGTGTGGATGCCTTGGAGTGGGCAGCCCACCATAGGTGCCCTTCACGTGTCCCTTGCAGGGCTGTACAGGTGGGGTCAGACTGGGTTTGTTCCTGGCACTCCTCGCTGTCCCCCATTCCAAATTTCCCTCTGGGAGGGGAGCCCATGCAGGTGTGAGGAGCAGCGTGGGACCTGGGCCTCTTGCTTTCCATGCAAAGGCAGATTTGTCCAAGTTGCGTTACTGTGCTGGAGCTCTGCACCACTTGGGCCTGCCCCAGAAAGGCTGCTGCTGCTATTCTCCATGTAGCTGTTACTGGAGGGCCCTGGTGAATTTAGCTCAATAGTTTGAGCTCCTGCTCATGCATGTTGGCTTACACTGCTGGTGGAGGGACAAGGCAAGGGTGGTGACAACTTGAGCTACTGCCACCAAATCCACCAGGGTGTGCGGTGCTGGCAGCACTGCGGCTCCTTGCAAATGGAGTTTCTCTTGTCGCAGCACACTACGGTCTCCCTCGTCCCCAATCCACGAGGAGGATGAAGAGAAGCTTTCCGAGGACTCTGACTCGCAGCCAGCACTGAGCGGGGGTGAACTGGTCCTGAGAGAGACCAGCTCTCCAGAAGTAAGTCTGTGCTGTGCTGGGGAGCTGCTCTGAGCCAGAGCTCTTCTGGGGGGGGATTCTTCTGGGACAGTGGAGGTGCCTTGTGAAGGGCCATTGCTTCCTCAGTGACATGACAAAGATGAGCTTCTTAGCATGAGTGGCCTGGAGCCAACGGTCTCAGCTGCCTTTACCCGTAGGACTCCATGGGGAAGGACGTAGCCGCTCCCTGTGCCCCTAACAAGTCTTTGGGAGCTGGGGGGTTGGAAAGCCACTTGGCTGCAGCCATGTCAGAGCTGACCTTCCCCCAGCTTCTTCGAGGAGCCCAGTGTTTGGGGCAGGGGTGGAAGCTGGGCCTTGCTGGGCTTTCAGCACCTGCTGTTGTTGCCTGTAAACTCCCTCCATCCTGGCCCATGGTGCCACAGGACTGATGCGTGGCCCCTTGGTCCCTCAGGGAGATGCGTGGCCCTGCGTGCAGCTCTTTGGAGAACGCCAGAGCAGGAGACAAGCGCAGCAAGGGCCTGCAGCCCACAGAAGTAACCTGTGCGGTTCCTCTTTTACAGAGTGTGGCAGGGGAAGAGATTGAGGAGGCCTCATCCCTGCAGCAGGGTGAGTGTGCGCTCAGCCGTGGGGGCAGCCAGACCTTGTCTTGTTGTCCAGCTCCGCTGTGGTGGGATGGGGACAGCTGGGGACTGGACATATGAGTTCAGAAACATCTAGCCCCTGAAATCCCATCTCTGAGCTGCTGTGCTTCACCAGGTCTCTAGTACTTCCCTGTTCTCTCCTGGGAAGTGAGGGAACAAAATCAATAGATCTACCTGGTGTATTTGCCAAGCATCTCTTCTTGCTGTAAGCTCTACACAAGTAGAGCTGTCCACACCATGGGCTGTCTCCTTGCATGGCTGAGGCGGGGGAGATGGTTGCGTGCACCAGTGTGGTCCTGGTGAGACCATGGCTGCAGTACTGGGCATGCAGGATGTGCCCCATGTCTTTCGGATGGGTCTCTGGAGCTCGCTCAGCATCCAGAGGGCATGAAGATGGGGTGGGAGGGGGGTGCTGGGTGCATTTTGGGGCATGAGCCTGCATGTGAACAGAGCTGACCCTTTGGCACTGTGACCTGGGCCAGTCTGACCGGCTCTCCTGAGACCTCTGGGGGGCTGGGGGAGCCTGGGGAGCTTCCTCACCTGGAAGACCTCAACCTGTCCTCCTGGCCACGTGCCCCTGCAGAGCTGGTCTGGGGACTGAGGGGCTCTGTGCTCTCGGCTGGTTCTAGGTAGCCGCCCACCCTCTGTTGAAGACGTCCTGCAGGACAGCAGCTGCGGCGAGCACAGGAGCCTGACGCAGTCGGAGAGCGACCCTCCGGTAGACGTCTACCTGCCAGGTAATGGCCGCGCCGTTGGGGTCAGAGGTGCACTGCTGACCTGCTGCACTTGCGGCTCCGGTTTGGGGGCCTGGGAGGGTTGTGGACCATGTGCCTGACCGTGGGCAGCCTCCCCAGCCTGGGTGGCATGCTGCAGCCTTGGGATGGGACAGGAACGCACCTGCCTGGAGCACGGGCTCCCGCTACCTCCCAGTGGGCAGAGTGAGCTGTGGGCGAGGGGGGCTAACACAGAGGTAACTTGCCCCCCACCTTCTCTCTCCTCCTCCCTCACCCTTTTGTCTCTGTCCTTCCCCTCCTTTCTCCTCTCTGGGCTGCAGCTGCTCAATGGAACAGTTTATGTGACAGTGGTCTCACATGCCTGCCCCCACACCGCGCTCCTGCTTTCGGCCAAGGGAGGGGAACCATCTGGGCCGATGTGGGGGGCAGTGGGCACCCCTCTGCCGTGGGGTGGTGTCACGGCGGGGAGGGCCGTGGGGTGCCATGCTTTGCTGGCAAGTGTGGCCATGGGACGCTGTGCTGTCCTGACCCCCGACTGTTGTCGTTGCAGCCTGTTTTCTTCCGTAGAGTCGCAGTCTGTTCTGAGTACCTCTCTAATTGTCTCCTTCCCTCTCTGTCTGCCTTCCTCCCTCCTGTCTTGGGCAGCACTGGGTCCTGATTCCTGCTCTATTGGTATAGAGGAGTAAGCTGGTACGTCGTCTTGTTCTTCTTACGCATCACTGTTGTGTGGGGCAGCAGGACCCCTCCTGGGAAGGCTGGCAGCCAGGCGAGAGCGGGGATGGGACTGATCCTGGCCGTTGGGGCAGGGAGGGAGGGGGCAGCAAACCAACCAGCCGGCACTGCTGGCCCTTTTCCTGGCTCTGTTCCCATTCCTGGCACCACCATCCCTGCACCCCACAGGGGGACCCTGCTCTCCCCCAGTGCCAGGACCCCAGGCAGGGCAGCAGAAACCCCGGCCCTCCCCACCAGCTTCTGCTGGGCTCCTGGGTGAGGGCTCTGCTGCCTCATGAGCACCATGAACATCCAGGCTCCTGCTGGCTTCTCCCAGGCTGGTGGCAGAGCGTGTGTCCCCTTAGTGTCCTGTGTCCCACTCCTGGTGCTTGCTGAACCTGCAGCTTAGCAGGGGTAGAGGGGATGGAGCTTGTGGGCTCCAGCTCCGTCTCCTGCGGTCAGTCCAGGGTAGGAGGGGGTGGCAGGGGTGATGGTCTCCTTGGCCCACGCTGCCCTCTCCCCAGGGCCGAGCACCCTGCCTGGGCTCTGGGTCTGACCCCAGAGCTGGCACTCTTGGGGCTGAACTTACCTTCTCCTCACTCAGGCTCATCCGACTTCACCAAGATGCTCCCCGGCCGCGGCACCGGCAGCCCCACGCAGCCCCTTCTCTTCGAGCAGACACGTCTTCACCTGGAGGACGAGCAGAGCCTCTCGTGAGCGGGGGCCGGACCTCCCTGCCCACGCCACCGGACCCCAGAACCCACGCACAGCCTCTTCCCCACCTCCCCAGCAGGACTGGCCCGTGCTCACCGCTCCGGGGATGCAATGCGGCGTGTCGCACCGGCGCGATTTCGGCACAGCCCGGCTTTTTTTAAAGACGTGCATGTTTCCTGGCGGCGGTGGGTAGGGGCTGGTGTCGTGTTTTCACGTGGGGGGTGGGAGTCGGGCGTGGGGGGGTTCGGGGTTAAAATCGGCAGATGAAGGACACTACCGTTGTATATTTTGTACACACCGAGCACAGCCCTTTGCTGTCACTGCCCCTGTACATAGCTGCGGCCCCCCCCCCCCCGCCTGTGCCAGCAGCACCTCTGGGTGCTGGGGTGAGCCTTGCCGGGGCACAGGGCTCCACGGAGGGGAGGCGGGGAAGGCCGTGGGGGTCAGCCCCGTCCCATCCCGAAGGGGTGGGACGGGG